GACCCCATAGACAGCAGCCCACCAGGCTCCTCTGTCCCTGGGATTCTCCAGGCAAGAACACTGGAGTGTGTTGCCATTTCCATCTCCAATGCATGAAGGTGAAAAGTGAAAGTAAAGTCACTCAGTCGTGTCCAGCTCTAAGCGACCCCATGGACTGCAGCCCACCAGGCTCCTCCGTCCATGGGATTTTCCAGGCAAGAGGACTGGAGTGGGGTGCCATTGCCTTCTCCAAGGGTGGGTTTTGAGTCTCCCAAAATTGCTCCATAGAATTGGATAAATCAACTAAAGAGGTGGACCCCAAATCCTCAACAGCAAAGTGTGACATGGCATCCCCCCAAATCCCAAAATAGGAAGAGTGGGTGGGTGGCACGGGCCCCCACTCAAGAGGAAGCAAGAGAAACGCTGCGGTTCCTGATGGATGTGAGAAGAGAATTCTGGAATAGCCAACAGGTATCCTGAGAAAGTGCAGGGTCTGTATGAGGAAGAGCAGCTGACCCTGGAGGAGGACTGCACTCTCCAGTTTGAGGCCTGAGTGGCTGGAATGTCCTGGGCTCCGTGAGTTCCTGAAAGCTGCTGTCTGAGGGTTCTCCAGGCCCACACCTGGGGAGGGGAGACACTTGAGGGGTGTCTGTGTTGAAGCAGCAAGGAGAGTCTAGATGGACACACAGGGGGTGAGCAGAGCCAGAGCCTGAGGGTTGGTCATATTTTTTAATGTTTCATGAAAGCAGCTGATATAGGGGGTGGGGGCAGGGAGCCCCGAAACACCTCTCATGGCTTCTTCCTCCTACGTGTCTAGGAAAACCAATATCCCATTAAAGCAAGAAGTGGTGAGAAATGCTAATGGTCAAATCTCAAGCAAAGTTATTAAAAGTCCAAAGACCAAGGAGCAGAATTATGTCAGTACAAATGTGGAAACGCCCACAGAAAGCAGAGCCTCACCCGGGGTCACTCCTGGAGGGAAGCCAGGGCATCAGGGGCTGGTGACCACAGGAGCCAGTTTTGGGGAGCCCGGAAATTCCTTACACTATTCTTGGCTACTTTTGTTTAACTCAAAACCTTAAATACTTAAAAAAAAGTACAGAACAGGGACCAGCTGAACACCTTCTGGTAAAGAAAGCCCCAGAGAGTTCCAGCAGCATCTGTTAAAATGCTGTTCAGTGCGGTGCAGATGCATGGTCAGTTTCACTTTATTTTTTTGCACTTTTCCCTATTTTCTGTAGCGTCTACCCATTCGTTTCTTTTACCATCAGGAAAAATAAATCTGGTGTAGAAAAGGGATCCTTACCTATTTCTTTTTAGGGCCTGACTGACCTTTCAGCGTTCCTGTGCAGGGAACAGGCCCTTCCCTTCCCAACCCCCGCCGCCCCCTCAGGCGGCGAGACAACTGCTTCTTCCTTCCTTCCTTCAGGTCTGGAGCCCGGCTCGGTGGTCATCACCCGGCAGGCAGTGGACCCATGCTTTAAGCCGGAGTTTGAGCAGATTGTCCTGGGGAAGCGAGAGGTCCGGACCACGGACCTGGACGAGCAGCTGGTGCAGGAGCTGCTGCGCTGCTCCGAGGACCTGGGCGAGTTCCCCACAGTCGTGGGCAACACGATGTGCACCTTGGACTTCTACGAGGGTAAGGGGCACGCTGGTCTCCTGCTGGGGGTCTGCCGCCGTTGTGAGCTTGCTTCTTATGATTTCCACACAGGCCGGATGCTGGAGGGCAAGCAGGCTGGTCGGGCTCGAAACCATCTCCATGCCTGGGGAATGGGGTGGGCGTGCAGTAGGTTTTTACTGCATGCCCGTGCCGAGTGCTCCACGATTTTCCAGGGCAAGGCCGCCTGGACGGGGCGCTCTGCTCCTACACCGCAAAGGATAAGCAGGAGTACCTGCAGGCAGCCTTCGCGGCCGGCATCCGCAACATCGAGATGGAGGCGACGGTCTTCGCCGCCATGTGCAACGCCTGCGGCCTCCAAGGTGGGATCCCTAGGCTGCCATCCCCCCACCCCACCCTGCTGAAGCCCCCGCTTCTCCCCTGTTCCCACCCAAGTCCTCCCGGAACTACCCGCCTACCCTGCCCCCCAAGGCATGTCTCTGGACCCAGAGCATAGCGCAACTCTGTGCTCTTCAGATTGACACACGCTTCAAAACAGGATCCGCAGTGTCTCTGCTGGGACTCCAGTGCCACTGAGGGACCAGAAAGATGAGAAAGCTCCCCCCTCAGCTCAGGGCGGCCTTCACTGCCAACTCTACAGTGAATCTGGCCTTCGGAGCTCCTCGGATTTCTGAGTGGCAGTTAACCCATCGCAGTTCCTGGCCTCACCCCTCCGGGTCCAGCTCTGCCTTCCTGAAATCCCGCCGTCCCCGCTGTCACATCGCCTTGCCTTTCAAGGCAATACAGGGACCCAAGCTGGTCCTGGGGTTTGCTGAGGGGAGCTCTTAGGGACGCAAATGCAGCCAGAGCATGAGACAATAGGACAGGGTGCTGTGCATCCCACACCTTCTCAGGAGGAGTGGAGGCTGGTCTCCCGGAATTAAGCTAGAAATCCCGCAGTTTGTGCTGACCTGGCGTTTGCTCCCTGCAGCGGCCGTGGTGTGCGTCACCCTCCTCAACCGCCTGGAAGGAGACCAGATCAGCAGCCCCCACGAGGTGCTGGCCGAGTACCAGCAGCGGCCCCAGCGGCTAGTAGGCCAGTTCATCAAGAAGCGCCTGATGTAGGCCTGACACCCCAACATCTATCTAGAGGGCATTTGTGGTTCCTGCAAATAAAATCATTGCCACAGTCTCCTCTGTGTGACTTCCTGGATCCTTTATACAAGAATCTAGGGAACTGATTTCAGGTCAGAAGCAAAGAAAATCCTGCCTTAGCTACGCAGATTTTAAAATATATATATTTTTATATATAAATAAAATAAATAAAATAAATAATAAAATAATAAAATATATATAAATAAAATAAAAATATATATATTTTTAGTTTAGTTTTTGGCTGTTCTGGGTCTTGATTGCTGCGTGGGCTTTGCTAAGTTGTGAGTGGGGGCCTCTCACTGTGGTAGGTTGTCTTGTGGAGCACGGGCCTTGGGGCATGCAGGCTTCAGGACTTGTGGCCCACAGGCTCAATGGTTGTAATGTAGGGACTTTGCTGCTGCCAGGCAAGTGGGATCTTCCTGGATCGGGGATCTAACTTGTGTCTCCTGCATTGGCAGGTGGATTCTTTATCGTTAAGCCACCAGGGAAGTCCAAGGATTTTTTTTTTTAAGCTTCTTTGGAACATGTCCACCACGTTAACCTGATTTGGGTTTTCTTTAAGAAAGTTCCTCAGTATTTGAGATATTTCTAGGGAGGTTTTTCAGATTTTTTGTAAATACTGATTGTAGTCAGATTTCGCTCACCAAGCGAGACTCGGGTCCACTTTAGCCTGGCAGCAGCCCTGCATCAATGCCTCCGTGTCCCTCAGCTTCCTCCTGGAGTCAACCCCCCCCCCTCCGCCCCGACTGGAGGGGGATTTGGAGGGCATTCCAGGGTGTCCCTTCCTGTCTCAGATGGGTCTGGCAGTAGCTGTTTTTGGGGTGTCCCCAGGTCCCCCAGCCCAGAGGCAGTTGCCCCAGTTGCCTTGTTGGCACATCTACACCTGGTAATGTTTGGTATTAACTCTGTTTTAGGTTTTAGGTTCTCAAAGTGGGCTGTTTTCTGACTGCACACCAAGGCCCGCACTTGTGCTTTGTGGTTTGGGGAATTGTGTGGGGACCATGCTGTTGATGTATGAATATGGTCCATACACTCTTCAAAAAGCCTCCTTCCTGAGATTTTGAGGTTCATCCCAAATTGAGGGTTGGTAATCAAGTCATTCAAGAGGCACCAAGCTGGGCACTGGTCCAGATGCCAAGACCCCTCTATTACAGGGAGGAGCCAGTAATGACTCCATGTTAGAACTTTTACTTTAACCCTTGCTTCCCTGTTGCTTTTCTTCACTAAAAGGATACTGTTTATACATAATGGTCTGCCTGGGGGAATCCTGCCTGGCTGCCTGAATACTAAACCAAAGTGCCTTTGATCAGGACCCTGTCCACCTGTGGATGGCTACAGGAAGAAATGAACACATCCCCTCCCCAAGGCTTGCCATTCCAGGAGATACTTGCAAGATCAATGGCCTTTTAACGTTGTTTCCTCACCTTCCCCATCTCTTCTATAAAAGAACCTGGCATCCAGACCTCAAGATGGTTACTTTGAGACCTTATCTGTCAGTCGCTTTTGGAATTAAGCTGTATTCCTTGCCTCAGCACCTGCTCTGCATTAATTGGCCTGTGGTGCAGTGAGCTGGGTGAACCTGGACATGGTAACACCTCCTGGCTCACCCTTGCTAGAGGCTGCAGTGGAGAAGGAATGCCTGCGGTTTCTCCTTAGCCCCCTCAAGGGATATCTGCTGCACCCCAAATTTGAGGCTGCTCCAGAAGGAGCCGCCAGCAGCTGGCAGGTCCTGGAATATGTGTGTCCTCTCATGTTTGGCCGCCTCTGACGCTGGCTCAAGCTGCAGGAGCTGTATCCAGGCTCCTGTCACCATGCTCACATCTGCCCCCCAATTCCCAGCGCCCCAGACTTCAGCGGAGACATTTCCAAGTCCGTCTGCTCGCGGGTCTGCTCTGCCCGCAAACCTGGGTGCAGGGGCAGACAGGGTCGGTCTCTGGATGTTGGTGGGCTGGTGGGCTGGCTGGCGACCCCCGCAGCCCAGGTGTCTGGCTAGGACCCCGTGGTCACCAGGCTCAAGTCCCGTGAGGAGCCGCGGGGACTGTGTGCCGCGGGGTGCCCCGGTGGGAAGCGGGGAGAAGGCAGGAGCTAGGCAGTCAGCAGCACGAGAAGCCGTTTAGAGCCAGAGAAACGGTATCCCGCGACCGCGGTCCCTGCGGCGTCTCCCGGGCCGGCGGTCCCTGCCCCGCGCCCACGGATGGAGCCTCCCTGGAGCCTGCTCACTGGCCCTCTCCCCCTCGGGACGGGACTGAGACGAGGTTCTTCCTCAGCGATGCTGAGGCCCCGCGGAGGCGCCCGGCTGGGCCTGCGCCGCTCTCTGCTGGCCGCAGTGGGAAGGGCCGGGCTCACCCGCGGGGCTGCTCCGTACCTACCCGATGGGGTAAAAGCAGCTGATGACACGCACTTCCAGCGAGACAGCCGACCGTGTGCACTAACAGAGATCCGCGACGACTCCAGAGCGGACGCTCCCCCGCCCCCCGCCCCCCCCAAACCGCGCCCGGGTCCCCCCACCTCCATCCTGCGCTGGCAGGGAGAACGGGCGCCACCACCGAGGCGCAGGGCACCTGGAGAGCTGCTTCCGGTGTGTGTGGGGGGCGGGGGGCGGGGGGCGGGGGGCGGTGCGCGCACACGAAACACAGACGCCCACGTCCACACGTGCTCCGTGCACAGGCGGGCCCTCAGGCATTAACCAGGTAGAACACGGGTGGTACTCAGTGGCCTTGCCCTCCTCCCGGAAGAGGAGACTTCGGCCCAGAGCCCACCCTCCGGGCCAGCCTGGGAGCCCTGGCAAGGGCTCGCCTGCTCCTATTAGGTTCTCCTCCAGGTGGCGCTAATGGCAAAGATCCCGCCTGCCATGCAGGAGGCAAAAGAGACCCGGTTTCGATCCCTCGATCGGGCAGATCCGCTCCAGGACGGCACAGCAACCCACTCCAGTGTTCTTGCCTGGAGAATTACACGGACGGAGGAGCCTGGTGGGCTACAGTCCGTAGGGTCTCAAGAGTCAGGCACGACTGAAGTGGCTGAGCACACATGTACCAGAGAGTGGTTTAAAAAGAAAAGTTTAAAAAAGGTTCGGTATGACTATCACTGGGCTCCAAAAATCACTGCAGATGGTGACTGCAGCCATGAAATTAAAAGACGCTTACTCCTTGGAAGGAAAGTTATGACCAACCTAGACAGCATATTAAAAAGCTGAGTCATTATTTTGTCAACAAAGGTCTGTCTAGTCAAGGCTATGGTTTTTCCAGGAGTCATGTATGGATGTGAGAGTTGGGCTATGAAGAAAGCTGAGCGCCAAAGAATTGATACTTTTGAACTGTGGTGTTGGAGAAGACTCTTGAGAGTCCCTGGGACTGCCAGGAGATCCAACTAGTCCACCCTAAAGGAGATCAGTCCTGGGTGTTCACTAGAAGGACTGATGCTGAAGCTGAAGCTCCAATATTTTGGCAACCTCATGCAAAGAGCTGACTCATTGGAAAAGACCCTGATGCTGGGAAAGATTGAGGGCAGGAGGAGAAGGGGACAACAGAGGATGAGATGGTTGGATGGCATCACCGACTCAATGGACATGAGTTTGGGTAAACTCCGGGAGTTTGTGATGGACAGGGAGGCCTGGCGTGCTGCAGTTCATGGGGTCACAAAGAGTCGGACATGACTGAGCGACTGAAGTGAACTGAACTGCTGACCGTCATACAGGCATCAGTGAAGCGTGTGTGGTAGAAATGAAGGGTCCCTCCATCCATCCAGGTGTGTGAGGAGGGGGCAGACTTTGTGTCCAGAGGGGCCCAGCTGCCACTGGCTCCGGCAGAGTGGGAGCCGTACGCTGAGGCTGGGTCTCCCACCCTGTGTGGGCCTTTAAAAGAGGCCCGCGTCGCTCCTGTTAGCCCCAGAAGGGAAGGACAGTGCTCTGCCCACGATGCTGGTGGCAGCTTACTCACCCCCTCGAGGCATGGTGCGCCTACGCACGAGTGTGCGGGAGCCTGGCTCGCTTGTGACCTGGGGCAACTGTTTCGCTGGAATTCACTCATCGGTGACGTTAGACTTCTCTCGTCATGAGGGTGTGATAGACCCAGACATGAGGATCACCTGGCCCCGTGGAGGACGCCCCCGGACCGCTGTGGAGCTCCTCCTATCACGCTCACGCAGGGCAACTCGGGGTCCTGAGGTGCTTGCCTCCCTGGGAAGGCCTCTGTCACAGTCGGCCTGGGAATGCCGCTGGCCCGCCTCCCGAGGGTCTCCCTCCATTGCTGTGGGTGCTGGCCTCGCGTTACTGTGCTCTGCTGAGCCCCGAGGCCACGGGGGGAGCGGCCCCTTCCAGCAGCACTGGGTGAGGCTCGGGCCGAGGACTTAGGGATGCACAGAGCTCTGAGTCTGCTGATTTCAGCCTCAGGGGCTTCCCAGCCCCCCTCCCCGCACCCCTCCACCCCCTCCAGGCTCAGAGATTCTGTGACTCCTCTAAGCCACATGGCCAAAATGTCAGTGGAAAAGGTGCAGCTTCTGTGGCTATGGGAAACAATACGGCAGTACCTCAAGGACTTCTACACAGAATCACCGTGAGATCCAGCAATTCCACGTCTGGGCACCTGCACGAAAGAACCAAAAGCAGGGATCTGAACGAGTGTTGGTACACCTGTCCCCACAGCGGTGTTATTCACAACAGGCACAAGATGGACATGGCCCAAATGCCCATCAGTGGATGACGGGATAAACAAAATATGCCAGGCAGACAAATGGGGAGTATTCAGCCTTAGAAAGGGAGAAAACTCTGTTACACGCTGTAACAGAAGAGCCTTGAGAACACTGTGCTGCAAGAAATAAGCTAGTCAGAGGACAGATCTGTAGGAGTCTACGTACATGAGGTTCCTAGAGTTCTCAAGTCCACAGAGACAGCGGTGGGATGGTGGTTATTGGGTCTGGGGGAGGGGAGATGGGGAGTCAGTGTTTACTGGGGACAGCGCTTCAGTTTGGGAAGATGAGAAAATTCTGGAGCCTCCCCTCCACCCCCGCCCCCGCCCCAAAGTGCTTCCCTGACCATCTCCAACACCGGGTGGGTGGGTGGCCTATAATTAGATTCGATTCTGACACTTACCTACCTGAAGTTATATCTGATTCCACAAGTTGGAGGGAAAGGTCTTGACCACAGTGCCCTTATTTTAGATGCAAGCTGCAAGGGCGTCCCCAGGCTACCCACACATCAAATCTGGGGCTTTCTGCGATGCTCTCAGGTCTGATAACTTGTTAGAATGACTGGGGACACTTGGCGAAGTGCTGTACTTGCAACTGTCATTTCACATAGGCTGTAAGTGAGCAGTGGACCAGGGGCCCACGTCTATGTGTGCCCAAGGACAGGCGCTCCCATCTCTTGGGCTCAGTGTGAGCCTCCCCCCCGTACATCCACACGGTCACCAACTGGAAGCTCCCTCAAGAATGGCGTTCAGCATTGGTAAGCTGCGTTTCCACTATCTAGACATGACGGAGTAAACCATTGAGCCCAGCCCCCGGGTCTCCTGCCGTCCCCTTCCCAGCCGTCAGATACGGCAGAAAGGGGGTTGTTACTGTTCAGGTGGCTGAGGCCACTACGGCACACCACCACAGACCGGGAGCTTTAAATGATGGGAATTCATTTCTCACACTTAGGGAGGCTGGAAGTCCAAGGTCAAGGTGTCTGCTGATACTGTTCCATGGCGAACACCCTCAACCCAGCCTGCAGACTGTTCTCTATGAGAACATTAATCTCTTAATGAGGGCCCCACCTTCAAGACCTTACTGCACCCTCACTACCTCCCAAAGGCCTCACGTCCAAACACCATCACGTTGGGAGTTGGAGTTTCAACACATGAATTCTCGGGGGACTCAGTCAGTCCATGGTGGTAAAACAAGACATTCCAAGGATTTTTGAACCAGGATAAAGGCCAGATATATATGTTTATTGGCTCACAATACCATCTAAGTTTATCATGTTGCTAAACCTAAGTATCCTTAAGGCAGTGGTATTTAAGTTTTTTGGTCATGTATTCCTAAATATGGGTTCCCTGATGGCTCAGAGGTAAAAAATCCACCTGCAATACAGGAGACGCAGGTTTGATCCATGGGTTGGAAAGATCCCCTGGAGAAGTAAATGGCAACCCACTCCAGTATTCCTGCTTGGAAAATCCCATGGATAGAGGAGCCTGGTGGGCTACAGTCCATGGGGTCACAAAAGAGTTGGACGCAACTTAGCAACTAAACAATAGCAACAAAATTCCAGAATATAATTTGAAAATCTGTGTACCTCCTAGGAAAATTTTAGGTTTACATCTGACTTTTATCATAAGTTTGCTAGAGGCAAAGGATGTAATATCTAGGATATCTGTTGTACCTTTGCTTTAAATGTATCCGATCAAACCTCAGAGCTGAAAATTTAGCTCATTTGATTTTTAGATGTCTCATATATTCTAATTGGCAGAACTCATCCTTATTTCCAGTCAGTCATAATAGACTATCTGTCAGAAGAAAAATCGATTCTTTTCAAATCTGTTCACATTTCTATTTGAATAGAAATCAATTTCAAGTTCTATTCACATACATTATTAATGTTCACGGGCAGTTCTGAGTCTCTGAGTTGGATGGCTGTCTGACAGGCAGGAATAGATGGACAAGGTGCTGGGCCTCCCAGCACTTATCACTGGAAGGATTAAAGCGCGCACGCAGCGCCTCCCTGCTTGTTACCAAAACTCTCCTGGCTCAGTCTCTGGATGCTCTCTTGAGCTGTTACACATTCTCACTTGGTCTGTAGATTTGGCCCCAGAATTTCTTAGACCATGATGTGTCCTTTTTTCCCCTTCAAATGGAAATAAGATTTATTCATTTCATGTACAAGGAATCAGGAGTTTGATCCAATAAGAAGGCAGTTACAATAAATCAAAAGCCACTGAGTATATAACAGTTTGATTTTTTGAACTTGACCTGATTTTTCTAAAAGTGTAAATCCCACACATACAGCTTTTATGAATTATGCCAAATCAACTAGTTTTCAGAAGTGTGTAACATAAATCTTTAAGAAAGCAAAAGAAGATGAAGAAACATGGCCTTTGTTCTTTAACAACAGAAAACCTGAAAGGGAAGAAAAAATACACACATACCCAAACTAATTTCCATGTTGAGATGATCATGGATGCCAAGAGATGTCTTAATACTAAATATCACCTTTTTCAGCTCTTAAAGAATTGCCGCAGTAATTCACAACTATGAAAAGGGGAGAAAAGCTGCTGAAAAATGCTTTTTAAAGAAATCTGTTCTTTTAGGTCATATTAACAGAAGTATTGGGACTAGACCAGAAATGACATACTAAGTATATTCTTACAGATTCTTGGGACGGGAGCTACAGTTTAGTTTACATGGAATTTTAAGCATCGAGGTATCTCACACGGAAATCCAGGTTTTCATCTTGTCTTGAACAGCTTGGAGCTCCACGTGTGACTGCAGCCAGGGGCTGTTCTGCTCAGTGGTAAACACCTGGGATGCGGCCTGGAGGTGCAGCCTCCCATCGGGCTGGAGCCGCGGGGCCCAGAGCGGGGCAAGGGCAGGGCTGGGGCAGAGGGGCTTGGAGGGGTGCAATGGGGCTGCACACTTAGGGGTCGCTCTTGAGCAGGCCCTGCCTCTGCACACCCATACAAGCATAGGAGCACGAGGAACCCAGTCATGAGGGTCGCCCGCATGTCTGGGTGGGTGACATTTAAACCCATACTCTTAAAAATGTAAGAATGAGTAAGTTTAGGTGGGTAAAATGCCTTGGAAGTGAATAATAGTATTGTTGAAAAACTGCATTCAGTCCAGCAACATTTTGCAAAACTGGAAGGCTCTTTCTCATTTTCTGGAATAATGAAAAGCCCAAAGAATTCATTTTGCATCTAGTTAATGGACCTGAGTTAAAATCTACTCTAAAAAAAAAAAAAATCTACTCTAGAGCCAGGATATAGACTAGAACACTAACATACTCAGCCCTCAGGTTGCTGAGCACTGGAGGAGCGGAGGACTTTTGGCATTGAACGACTGGGGTGGAGTCCGCAGTGATGCTGGCAGGGACGGCTTGATTTCTCTTCAAACTTGAGCTGTTATTTCAGAAGATGGTTATCAGCTTTCCAGGTCCTGGTATCGAGAAGCCACCTGGAGACTCCTGTGAGGTGTTGAATCTGCTTTGAACTCAAGGATGCCCCATGGTGTACTCTTGTCACAGTTTCCCTGAAGCAGGTTACTGCCTACGAGCTGGCTGTTTGCAAAGACTATCAGCCCTGTGATGGCTAAGCAGTGCTGAGCAGGCCGGGGAGTCTGAGCCGTTCACCGGTGGGAAAGCCCTGCCAGAGACTGCGGTGCGGGTGGGTCACGGCCGCTTCTGTAGTGAGTGTGCTCAGGTCCTGGGGCATCAGTGTGCCTGAGGTTTTATGAAATGAGAAAAATGTCCCTGCCCTGAGTCCAAGGAGAGACTAGATTAACAGGGTTTGCAGACTGTCCACCAGCTTCTCTGGAGGGTGCTCGTCCCTTAGAGATAACCTCATGTACCATAATCAGTCCAGGCTCCCTTTACAACCAGTGTTTGGGGTCCCTTAGGAACAGTTTGCCAAATGAGCTGGAACAAGTAATTCCCCAGCAGGTCACTCCTATTTCATAGCACATGAAATGAATTCTACGATCCTGAAATGACCATAATCTGGATGGCTTGCATAGTGATCATCTTGTTCCTCTAAGAAATATTTATCATATGATAGCAGAACATTGTTCTGGGGGAGGGTATTCTGTGTGGGATTCCTTGATGCCTTTGGATTGAGTCACCTTGAATCACATGGAGCTCAGGTGTGTTCTCTTCAAGAAGTATGGCTGCCCTGCAGGTGAGCTCAAATTCACTCAGGAAACATGGCCATAGCCCCAAACCATGGTTCAGGATGCATGGTGCTGAACTTGCAACATGAATATCACCTGAGAACTTGTTGAAAATGCAAATCCCGAGTACCCGGTGGGCTGAGTTAGAAAAGCTGTGAGTGGGACACAATCTATGGCTTAACAGCCCTTCTGGGTGGTTCTGATACAAGCTCCTGTCTGAGAACAGTGTACAAAACCAAGGGGAACACAGTTCTGCTAACGAGGAGATTCTGACCGGCTCACTTGGGACGCTGTCGCCTCCAGGTAACCACTCTGCCCTCTGTCGTTTATAACTCACATTGCAAGTTGTCCAGGTGGAGCTGGGTGGGGATCAGGGTCACTTACTGGAGGGGGTCTCAATTCCGCTTTTCTGTGGGTCTCCCTCTTTGCTCTCCTTTAGGATTAGTTTCACCTCCACGCAGTAGGGAGCTG